CCCCTTCACATGTCGGCTCAGGTGAGAACTGGATAATCATACTGGATTATCAAAGAATATAGCACCACTATCACTTGCCCGATGGCGGAGGGGATTGAGACCAGTCACAACCACAACCAAACACTGGGTCCGGGGGTTATTCGTCATTAGCTCCATATATATCTATCCATGGTTCTCAGACCCTCTCTTACATCTGAACTTGGTCGTGGGGTTGCGTGTGCTGGACATGGGTTTTTCAACCGATATATCTCGCGTTTATACGCCGTGTAATTTACTGCGGAGCATTTGTGCCATTCTATCTTCGGCAGGCAAAGACATTCATATTCTGTGATCTGTTGAACGCACATGACTTTTTATGGGCTCGAAATTGCTTTGGTGGCGTTGATATGATGAAGTGTATTGCAGAATGAGGATGCGTCTTTGGTGAAAACTGACGACCTAGAAATGCTGATTAACCAAGATGAGCAGGTAAACTATTTCTCAGAAGGGACACGGGTCATACTCCATCATTTATATTTGAGCCCTCGAAGGCAGGAGCAAGCTGCTTGCGTCAGGAAGATTCGACTCGGACTTTTCTCAGATAGGTTCCAACTATTGAGGATTCGGTCGGACTTCTGTGAAAGCCTTTGTCCAATATTGACCGACTTCTTCCATTCCCTGACTGGCTTAAAGCATAAAATTGCAAAGCTACTGGTAGTACAACAAGGTCTTTCTGACAACTACATTGGTAAGTCGTTATGATGAACTATCTGCTCACCTTGACATGAGATCCAGTTTATCGCGATCGCCGAAAAGAACCTTGACCTAAACTAGGTACAAATTGGTGATTCCAAGCTATTGGGCGGCTTCATGTATATATATATATATATCAATCCATGTTCGGGGTGGATGCATACATGGACAAGGCTGACTCGATGGGTTCGTCAAGATAGGTAAGATATCAACAAAAGATTACTAAGGTTAGCTTGCATACGCTGCCTCGCCACGAAAGGCTGCGAAAGGATAAATACATATACTAGGTACCTTGTGGGCCTATGGGGGGTTTGAACCGCGAATTCTCCGATAACGTCTTGTGAAATGGAATTTCTCCCGAGAGAACACGCCTTAATCTGATCATCTATTTAAGTCCGAAGTCACACAGTTTTGAATTCAAGCAGAAAACAAGTCGATTTTCGGCAGCTACATACTTGATTGATACAGGAATCGTTAAGGCCTGGCTTAAAGTCCTCCCGCGTATTGGACTTCACCCGTAAGATCTAATTCTTATTCAAGCAACCCCGAATCTGTAACTGATAAAGCTGAATCTGATTAACAGAATGAATCCATGAACCTTGACGCCTTGACCTTGGGTTCCTAACACGCCCCAATTGGAATCCGCCCATCTCCATTAACGTTGTCCTCCGACAACTCCGACAACTTCGACGTACTGGAGTGCGTCGCTAACGTAGGTAACAATACGCTTATATTCATCCTTGATGCAAGGCTCAAACTCCTTGTGCATGTTGGCAGGCTCGATGTAGGGCTCCTCGCAGAAAGCGGTGGCAAGCTCAATACAACGCAACTAAGACGACATGTGATTAGTAACCATAGGGGCTTCGAGGAAATCAAGCAAATGAAGAAAGTGGCATGTGTTATCGTAATGTCAGATGAGACACTCATAATCCAGATGACCCAACAACGAAAAACACTCCACAGAGGATGGGGTTTGGGAGGAGACGCCATAGACCCCTTATGGAGTCATTAGACTTGAGACGTGTGGACTTTACTAACTTCAGCACTCTCCACGAGCTCCTGTATATTACTCTGTTAACTTGCGCTCAGAATTATTGTTGAGGGGTTCGAATCATATTTATCGTACCTTTGCGGAATTGAAGATCTCGTCATCTTTTGCTGCGACAGCTTGTGCAAGAGTAGTATTTGATAGGAGAGCTTGCCACGTGTCGTTGGCACGAGGTCGTTGACTCTTCGATGGAATGGCTATGGCGCCGAGCGCCAGCAAGGGGGTGAGAATCATGAAGTAAAGCATCGTGTATGCTCCTGTGATTATGCTTCTTGAGAGAGAAATTGAAAAGACAAGGATAAGGACGAGATGTAAAAACTGATCAAGCAGATCGGCAGAGGTAGAATACGCCTTTATAGAAGCATGACATGGAAGTTCGTAAGCCATCTCGCCGACCAGCTCCCAACCAGATTCCAGCCAGCTGCCTGCAGAGTCTGCCAAGAAATCATGAAATCATCTAAGCCATTACGAAGTCCCAAGTAAGGCGAATGCCCGGTACAACTGCAGACTTAATGCTACGGACTCGCCGCAGAGTTTTGCCATGAATTGGGTGTTCAATGGGATTTGGTTTCTTGTGAAAACAGCAATTCGGCTGCTCCACGCTACTGTCATGCGATTATCGGCATACGATGTAGTCAAAGACTACCTGGGTGGTTCTTTATACGCTGGTGTTTGGAGCATCCTGTACGTGGCACCTTGCTCGCCGCCCAATCCCTCCGGACGGCCGCCGAATATGGAGCCGTTGTCCTTGGTCCGTACCTCGCCAAAGGCCCGAATTAGAAAGTTTGTGAGTAAGTGAATAGGCGTACATTGCTTGACAGCATGCAGGTAAGTAAGAACTGGGTGATTGCGAATATGTTGCAATGTTGTTCAAGGACACGAGACTTTACATGATATAATTGGCTGATCATTCTGCAATGGAATTCTATCACTTTATAATTTGTTTAACCTTTTTGTTGTTTGGTCAAATGATCTCTACGGACCTCGCATGTCCCCGAATCCATCGTGTATGTGCCATTTCAAGAATACCGAATACGGAAGTTCAATCTACTACATATGCTCTTGTTTTACCTTGAACTCTGCAGCCAAGACCGACTGAGAGATTTCGGGGTTATCGGTCTTTGGGCTGCGGTGGACATCCTCGATTAGATGTCAATGTTTGAGGAATTTTTTTTTTTAAGGTCCTAATGCATGCAGGGACTGTGCTGTTTGTTGCCAGCCATTTGGTACGGTCGGGAAAAGGGTATTTGTTGGATCTTCTCCTTCGGAAGCTGTCAGCCTGATGTCATGTCATGGGTGCATACTGGGGAGCAGGCAAAATCATGTCAATCCAATAGGCGTCTTGAATCCTAAATGTGCCTGCAAACGTCAATCGAATCCTAGTGGAATGTGCAAGCATTATTATCTTAAAGCCAGGATTGTAGGACAGCTGAAAATAGCCAAATGACAACACGGGTTTCTTTGTCCCAAGTGGTCATCATATTGCCGTGAGCCATTGGAGGCGCGAGAGGGGGGCAAGGAGGGATTGGGTATTGGGTTTTGGGGGGCAGGCACTGAGACGCCGACGGCCTGGGTGATCGGCATTATTGATCCCCTTTGCCGTTCAGGTGCATGAACACTGTCCATCCTTGTTGAGGTGCGATGTGCAATCAAGATCAGATGTGCTTCGTCTACTCAAATACCGTGTTGTCGGAGAGCAGCGATCCATGACCTACGTAATAAATTACCTACCTACCAACTATGGGCCATCGATGGCAAAGCTGCATGCATCTGGGGGTGCCCCAGTCAGTGAGATCTGCCCGCAACAGCAGCTGCGATAATAAAGGCCATCGATGTGCTAAATGTAGTCCTAATAATGTTGGACACACGAAAACAACAAAATACTAACAGGGAACAGAAAAAAGGTGTTCAGGCTCGTACTCGGATAGTGTCAAATCTTTCATGCTAGTTTCAACGGTTCAAGTACTCTGTACGTACATGCGATTACGCCGGGCGGATCTAGGTAACACATAGCGCTGAATTTTTAGCAAGTCTTCCAGCTGACAGTAGGTATTGTAGCACACGACCTCCTTTGTTTTTGGCCCCCGAAACTCGTGACGCCAATCAAATGTCTTTTGTTGCAAAGAAAAGACGCCGCAGGTCGGCCTTTTGCGACAGACCATTGAATGGAATGCGCCCCCGTCCATCGAATCTCCTCGTCCTCGCGCAAAAGATGACCTGGCCTCTAGTTTCCTTCTTTCTCTCTTATTGAGGCGCTTCTATTTTTAAGACATAGGGATATATCTTGGATCCGATCCTCTTAAACGATAGCGCGCCCCCTATGTATGCTCAGCTGTAGAGCAACGAGGCAGCCTCAGTACTTTAGCCCTGTCTGCCGCCCTCCCATTCACTGCTGCTTTGGGGTCGGGCGGCCAGTTAATCAATCAATCATCAATCCTCATCCACTTTCATCTGCGTGCGACACGTGCCTCGTCTTGACAAATCAATCTTCAATGCCCTTTCCTGGCTGCCACTTGGGGGGGAAAGATATTAGTTTAATCACAGATAAAGAACAAAGTCCTTTTCTCCTTTGTGCGGTACGTGGTCCGCATTGTCCGTCCCACTCTGCCCACCTACTCTAGATACCTAACCTTCAAGGACCAGGTAACTATCGTAGCCCTGCTCGGCGACTTGGGGTCATTCCACCACCCAAGAGGGAAAAAAAAAATTAAAACCCCCCAGTGATCTAGAAACCCGGCATCCATACCGAAAACCTTGCCCCTAGCTGTTAAAACCGCATACCTATTATCTGTGCCCAGCACAAACGCCGAGTCTCCGGCTCGCCGATTTTCCTACCTTGAGCGAGCACCTACCTACATACCTAACCTACAGCGAAGTTGCGTCATTGCGCCCTACCACCCACCATTACCACATGACACACCTGCGAACGCCCAGCACTGCTACCAATAGCACCACCATCACCACCACCACTACCACCACCTCGACGCCGTGGCCCTCTCAGCAAGTGGGCGTCTTTCCCAGCGCTGCCCACACCGACTGGTGAGACGCCCGACCGTTATGATGGACTCCAAATCCTTCTCGTCGCGCTTTCGGCGCAACGGGCGAAAGGGTAACCGCGCTGCCTCGCCTGCCTCGCCTGCCTCGTCGTCCCCCGGGCCGTCGCCAGTTACTTCGACTGTTGTTGGTGGTGGTGCTGCTGCTACTGGCGGTGTTGGTGCAGATGTAACTGCCGATGACGACAATGCGAACAACCACCACTCGGCCTCTAAATCGAACTCCGCCCATCTTACGGCCAAGACGACAAACTCCCCTCCTGTCCTCACCATAACCACGACCACCGATACTACCGCGCGCCCTCAGACTGGCAACGGCAACGGCAACGGCGGTTCTTCGCCCAGCTTCTTCCGCCAGCCGAAGTCTCCCTTTAGCAAGAAGTTTCATTTCCCCAGCAGATCTTCGCACAAGCGCGCAAGATCTCCTGCGCCTGCCGCCCTGCCCCAGCCGACCTCGCCTGTGCTTGTGAAGCAAGATGCCATGTTGGATCACGAAATGATGTCACCTGGCAAGGGTGCTGCCGCTACGAGTCCAGTGCAGGTGAAAGGGGGGCGGGCACAAGGATCAGAGAAGAGGATTCATAAGTCGCAGCAGCAGCAGCAGTCTCCGAGGGTTCCCGCCTTCTTGAATATGTCCGAGCAGGGTACGCCGCATTTGTTATCTGTTTTCCCCCGTCGCTTAGGACCGGCGAGGACCGCGTGCTAACCGAGATATGTGTGTTACAGAAATTCTCCACAAGTACCAGGAAATCCAATGGAACGAGCGGAATCGCGTGCTGCAGTCCATAACGAATAGCTCTCCAACATTCAAATTTGCCCAAGTGGATGCGACATACCGTCCACTCGACCGGTATGGCAACATCCAGCCGTGGAACAATAATCGGGTCAAGCTGCAGGTTCCCGAGGGTAATGCCGACTACATCAACGCGTCGCCCATTGTTTTGCGGTCACCTCTAGCACCAGAGCAGCGCTCGCCGCACAAGTATATTGCCATGCAGGGGCCCACTGGCAGAACATCGGAGCACGTATGGCGCATGGTGGCGGAACAGATGGAGAGCCCGGCTGTCATGGTCATGCTTACCGAAACTCGCGAGAACAACATGGAAAAGTGCTTCCCATACTACCCACACAATGCGGATGAGTCGCTTGACATTGGAGAACACGATGAGTTCCAAGATGGATGGCGGGCGCAGGTCAAGTGTTTGGAGGTGGAAGAAAGAGCCGAGGGCGCAATCGAGATGCGAAAGCTGCAGGTCCAGGTCGATGGCAGGGAAGATGACATGGAGGTATGGCATTTGCTTTACAAAAAGTGGCCAGACTTTGGTGTTCCCTCCCTTGAAGACATTGGCTCTTTTCTGGATCTCATGGAACTATCCCGGGTCAAGAATGCCCACGAGGACAACCCGCGGATTGTCCATTGCTCCGCTGGTGTGGGACGGAGCGGGACTTTCATTGCATTGGAACATCTTTTGAGAGAGGTTGACTCGGGAGATTTGGAAAAGTACGATGAACATTACGGCGGCGAGGCATCGGATCTCGTCTTTGACACGGTGAATACGTTGAGGGAGCAGCGCAAGATGATGGTACAAGCGGAATCACAGTACCTCTTCATCTACAAAGTTCTCCGGAAGCGTTGGATGGAAAAGTACGGCCTCGAAGACGATCAAGGAGGCGAGCCAGCAGCAAAGCGGTTAGGAGTCGGAGCAGATCCCTTTGTGGAGGATGACTAGGGGCAAGTCTCTCGAAGGCGGCAACAGACTCCATCGCCCTTCAAACTGGCACGCCTTGTTGATCGCGGCGTCAATATCCAAACGCCGCTTCGACGTCGTCCCAAACATTACAGAGAGCGAACTTTGCCCAATACAGATTGAGGTATCCCATGACGCTCGGGGTCACTATCCTTCAGGAGTTCAGGTAGCTTATTTCGAGGACGACAGGCATAGATTCGGAAACAAATGGGGGAAAGGGGAGGGGGAAACCAGGGCATCTTTTTGGCTCCTTGAATAGGGCATGGCATGGAGCAGAAGAAAGGTATTAAGGATAGTGTACATGAGATGCGACGCTTTTGTATTTTTCCTTCAGCATTTTTGGCAGCATTGGTAGCATTGGCACGGGGGGTTTAAGTCTTTTCTGTGCCCGAGGCAGGTGGTCCCCTTGAGATACCCAAATTCGTTTGATAGATGATAGACACGGCACAAGTTCGATTTTGCGGACGTGTGCTGGTTTTACTTGCTTTGTTTCTTTTATAAATGTCACAAACAGGCATTGTAATTGCACGGGGAGTTCAATGCCGGCCACAAACTACGACATATATGCATGATGCTATGCAAGCTTTCGTAGACATGGTGAGATGAGAATATGACGAAAGAGATGTAGATCCTAGATCATGGAAGTTGTTATTGAATGCCAGAGAAAGCACTTGGAATATATATGGCATTCATGTAGTGTCACGCCTAGTAGGGCTACGTGAGGAAAACAGCTCACAATACCCCAACGACTGCCTACATACTTACCAAGCTCAACTGTTTATATACTCTTTACCCCACTGATGCTCCGTGACGCCATGATCTCGTCATCTGCAACTTATTTTCTTGACAAGCCGACAAGCTGAATGGGAGTGTACAGAAATTCTTCACCTGTGAGACTTACATTGAATTATCCTGAAGATCGAAGACCCCAACTCATATTGATGGTTTATTCAAGCCTATCGCAATTGTTCTGATTTGCTTGAATTTGCAGTACGGTCCTCCCGTTTCTCGTCCTGCAAGCTCACTATAAACATTGTTTGTACTCCTTCCGGAGAGAAGAAGCTCAAATGGCCTCACCCCATGCAAAGCCAGACCTGTTGGAGCTCGGCAACCGGCTGCTGGCTGATGGCCCGCACAAGACAATGGCGGCATCACGACGGGTCCGGATCCTGTTCAACGGCATCTACGTCGCCGACACCACGGATGCCCTCTTTGTCTGGGAGCATCCATACTACCCCTTTTACTACGTACCACTGGCTTCGTTTGCCCGCAGCGTTCTTCATGACTCCCACGACGACGGCCCGTTGAGCCTCATGGGACTGCACGTGCGCGGCCGCACTACGGACCGGGTCCTGGGCTTCAGCGCGAATCTGGCGGCGCACGGCGGCAAGGGCAGCAGTAGTGTGAGCCCGGCGGCCCGGCCGCTGGCGGGCTATGTGCGCGTCGAGTTTGGCGCCGCCGACGCCTGGTTCGAGGAGGACACGCGCATCTACGTGCACCCTAAAGACCCATTCAAGCGCATCGAGATCCTGTACTCGACGCGGCCCGTGGCCGTGTCCGTGGGCGGCGTCAAGGTGGCCGAGGCGGCGTCGTCCTGGCACCTCCACGAGACGGGCCTGCCCGTGCGCTACTACCTGCCGCCCACGGCCGTCCTGGACCCGGCGACCCTCCGGGACAGCAAGACGGAGACGCAGTGTCCGTACAAGGGCGTCGCTTCGTACTACGACATTGTCCTCGGGGCTGCAAAGGCTGGAGATGGTGAGGACAAGACGTTCAAGGACCTTGTGTGGTACTATCGCAACCCGACGCACGAGAGTGCGCTTATTGCTGGATACATTTGTTTTTACAACGAAAAGGTCGATATTGAGCTTGATGGTGTCAAGCTGGAGAGACCAAAGACAGTGTTCTCCTGACGTGATAGATTGTAATGAAGACTGAATGAGAGAAGCAGCTCTGCTACTCGTATGATTATCACCAGTGGAGCCAGCAGAAGAACGGAACCGAGATAACTTAGTACGTTATGGCACAAGTAAGCAATTTTGAATCTCAAGACTACGAAAGCATGTAATTTCAATTACGCGGGAATGAATGTGATGGTTATACCATATCGTTGGCACGAATCTCCACGAAACCACATAGAACCAAGAAGATGAGAAAACATAAATAAAAAGGTAGTTAATCTTCCTTGAGGCATTCTCACTAATGATGCTTCAAGCCATCATATCGGGCCGCTACTCATGGCTGGTGCCACATGCCCAGAAGCATAAAAGCGAGGGCATTAAGAAAGAACAAACTTCGCAATTCATCACCTCAAATTTTCATGATTCAACACGAATTGACCATGATATCTACCTACTCTAGATAAACTGCAAATCACACACGATTGCTTTTTAGCATGCGTGGAGCTTCACAAAGCCTACTAGATGTATCTTCACATGATGATATCAAGTAAATGAACACAACCAGTCGACGATCATTCGTTATTTGCCACAGAACCATGAGTCTAGGATTTCTCAGTATTGGTGCGTTCCATGCGGCTGGACTAGGGCATATCTCAATACAGACATTCGTACATTCATAACACGAGTCAAAAGCCTGCATATTTTTCACAATAACTAGGTGTTTGATAAGAGAAACATGCTTTGTCTGCACCCCGCCGCGCAAATCTTGTGCTGGCTGCAGAGCATTCCTGTGTGTAACAAATGGACTGAACCAGCCTCCCAAAGCTACGTATCGATGCTGCTCTGATACGCCAAAGCTTCCCTTTGGCTAGAGCATGATACCAAGACCTGATCTTGGCGGGTGCATGTCTAACGCCAAATCCAAGGCTGGGCAGAGGGCTGGCGGGGAATGCGGTCAAAGATCAAGAAAACCTGGAGTACGTGTGGAGTAGCGGAAGAATAACCCGAGCGGCTGAGTTCAACGGCTGAGGGTATTGGTCCGACGCTATCTTCCCTGCTAATTGGGATATTTCCCGTTCCTGAAATTCCTTCTGGTGTGCAAAATAGGCAAGCAAGTCATGCCGTGCTGACATGTCAGGCTGATAGAGTCGGACATACTCCGCCAAACTTGGAGCTACACAAGTTGAATATGGTCATGGATATGCAAGGGGCCTCGATCCGAGCACTGGCCGCAGCTCAGAATAGAAACAATAGAGCTGCATTGAGTCGTCATGAACGACCCATTTGTGACAACAAGTAGCAACAACAGCAGCACCTAGCCTTTCACGGCTCACTGCTTTCAGCCGAGAACCTCTTTAGGGTTCTGGAATAGCAGACACGGCAGAGGACTTGCAGAAAATGGCGGTAGAGTTACAAAAGGCATACCATTGTTCTCCCAGTTTGGATACATGGTTACATCCTATTCCGTGCGCAACACGTGCTGTACGTATGATGCACCCGGGAAACCTGCAAAGCAGTGTGTGTGCAACGCAACCCACCCGTGCTAACGCACCCCGGAATATCACTCCTCGGCGGATACTGGTGCATATCGAACCGTAGAATTAGGGTGTATCTGGTCTGAAGAAGTGCTGGCTGATCGGCGCGGATGACGTCTAGACTCGGATGGAACTGGCAGAGACTTCCTGGTGCCTTGGATGTTGACAAGAACTCTTTTCCCACTGGGATCATTGCCTTTACAGTATTCTCAACAAGAGGGGGAGAAGAAAGGCTCACCTATCGACGATCCGGTGCGCGTTGGGCGGTAGAGCTTAGATGACTGACTTTGGGAGCTCGGTCAGTATCGGAAATCTCCGTGCTATCAATCCCTTCTGGACGTCGTGATAGAATGCAGTTCAGCGCTTTGACGACAAGGGTTGGGAAAGCTGTATGTTACATCCCTGGAGGCCACGCGAGAGTTCGCTGATAGGCTCACTGTGACAGCATTGCTTTCCATTTAGCACTCTGGAAGCCGAACTTGAGAAGATAAGGATGCATGATCGGCCAATGCAATCAAAGCATCCGGGAGGTTGATCATGATGATCCGTCAAGAATCTCATCCCTTTGTTTCACCGTGCTGCCCAGCAGACGGGCTTTGTCCATGGCTGGAGCTAAAAATCCATGCGCTCGGGGGTCACAGATCAGAAGCCTGATAGGGCCGCATATATGGTTGGGAATGGCGCAAGGGCTATCAATCACACCGTGGCCTTAACAGGTGGGATATATCATTCCAGACCCATATGGATGCTGGGGATAAGCTTCTGGAAGGTTTCTGAATGAAGAGACCTTGTCAGTGTGAGGAGATTGGCCATACTCCCGCCCCTGGGGAACGGAACAACCCCCATACAGTGTTCTCGGTCACATTCATGCATCCGAAGCATGCCTTGATGCACAGATGACTGCGTATGATCTGACAATGGTTGTTGCTGTTATATAAGACGACGGGTCGTCACCTGGCTGGTGCGCACTGCGGACGGATTTACGGCTTTGGCGTCTTTTCTCTCTCTCTCTCTCTCTCTCTCTCTCACAGACACACATACACTGCGACTATCAGTGAGGGCAAATTGCCATTTTTGGTAATTTTGGCCCCTAAAAGGGATATCTCAGGAGGGAAACCCTCTCCCGGAAAAAGGCCGAAAAGGGCCGATAAGGGCCGTAAAGGCATTTTGGAAGGCAATTAAAGGGACCTTTTAATTTTAGAGGGTATTTCGAAGGCATCGGGAGGAACGGTCCCTTTAAGCGCGATAAAGGCGGGTATTTATTGCTATTATATAATATTAAAAAGGGTATTTAGAATTAATACGAATAAATTTAGCTTTAAATATATTTATCCGTATAATTATAATATTTATTAAACGTAATAAATTAATAATTAAAATTTAAGCCTAATTTATTTAAGCGATTTATTTTTATTTTACGGCGTTACCCTTCCCCGATTATAGCGGGCTAAAGGTATATTAACTAATTATAATAATCGGTATTTACCGTAAAATAAAATTAAGCGCATAAAATAAAATTTCCTAAATATAGCGTAATCGCATTTTATAAATTATATTTTAAAATTTAATAAAATGCGAAAATAACTATAAAAAAATAATAAATAAGTAATATTATTTATTAAATAAATAGCTTAATATTTAATTATTATTATCGTTATTATAGCGTTAGCGGGCTAAATTAGCGTTTGCCGCAATTATATATTATAATATATTAATTAATTAAAATAAACCTTTTTTTTAATATATAATCAGGCCTAGCCAGCTAAATTACGCGTTTTTAAAAAAAGCTTTTTTTATTTAATTAATATTATACCTAAAGCATATTATTATATATTTAGGTATATTTTTATTTATTATTATTAAAAAACCTAGCTAATTTACTAATATATAAAATAAAATATAAAATTAAATTAATTTAAATTAATTATTACCGATAATTACCCGGGCCGCAAATTAGGCCCGAAAAATAAACTAAAGTTAATTTTATAATATTATAATTATAAATTTATATAAAAAACTAATATAAATAAATTATTATATATAAAGCATATAATTATAAACCCCGTTTATATTAATATATTTTCGAATATTAAAAATATATAATTAAGCGTTTTTATTCGACGCCTAAAAAATAAATATTAAATATCCAATTAATCGCCTAAAAAATAAAATAATAATACCGAATATTAAGCAAAATAAATCGAGGATTATTATAAAAAAACCCGCGATATTCGTTTATAATAAAATAATTTAAACCTTTTATTAATTTTTTATTATAATTTCCTTTAATTTCAGTAATATTAATACTTAATATTTAAATTAAAATAGCTAATTATAGCCTTCCCTAATATAGCGCGGGAATTAAATCTAAATAACTTTTTAATAAATTATAACCTATTATTTATCCCTTTTAGTTAACCCTTTTCTAAAAATATTATAAAAGCCTCGAATTTATAGCGGAATTAAAAAAAAAAGCAGGAAAATAAAGCTGCTACCGCTTAACGGGTAAATAAACTATACCGTTTAAAACCTAAAAAAATAATTATTAAAATTATAAAAAGCGGAAAAAAAAAATTAAAAAAGGAACGCGCCGCCGTAGCTAATAAGGAAAGCGAATTAAAAAATAGGTCGGCGATTTACGAATAAAAACGATTCCTAACTAAAAACCGCAAAAAAAAAGGCCAAAAAAGGCAAAATTATTACTGGGTCCAAAAATTCCGAAAACGCCACCGCTTTTTTATTTACAATTAAACCTTAAAATAAGCTATATACGCTTTTTTATTAAGCTAAAAAATAATTATAAAATCCGGATATACCGCTATATTAAAAAAATATTATCGAGCTTAAAAAGCTTTTTAAAAAAACCAAATAAAAAGCATATATTATCCGTAAAAAAATCGCGTTTGCGACCGAAAAGCTGCGGCAAATTAAAGCTAATATTATAAAAATCGAAAAAGCACTAACGATTTATTAAAACCTCCGCGAATAATAATACGTAAATTTATTCCGTTATTTTCCCGCTAAGCTATTATATAAAAAGCTAGTAAAATAAATATTAACCGCCGCGCGGTATATATAAAAAATAAAAACGAATTTAATTATTACGTAATTAGTTTTTTATTAAAAATTAATTTAAATAGCTAAAATAAATTAATTTAAATTAATTTAGTTAGCCGCTAATCCGAGTTTAATAAAGGATAAAAACGGTAATATTAGCAAAAACTTATAAATAACCTTCTAAATCGACCTACGACTTATATATTATTTAAAATAAATTATATTTTTATACGGATTTTAGGTTTATTATTTTCCTTTTATTATATATATAAATATATATTTTTTTAATATAAATTATTATTTAGCTATTTTTAAAGCCTTAAATCCGGCCTAGGAAATCCGATTACTCCGTTTTCGCTTTATTTAATAAATTTTAACGCTAAAATTAATATTTTTTATTATATTTATTTTAATAGCTAT